CATTGCTCTTTCTCAGATCTGGTTTGCTTCTCCTTCACGGTGCCGTAGCTCACAAATTGGCGCAAATGACAGTTGTCCGGTAGCATGATCACATTTGGATTGAGGAGCTTCCATATGAAATTTCCTCTACTGATTGTTATGTTTCCCTTTCTTAATTGCATTTTATAGCACTTGTAGAAATATATATATATATATATATATATATATTTCTGCAAATCTAAAATATATGCAATTAATTAGATTTGTTTTGTTATATACGAAAACATTCCGTGATGAAAAGATACTATTTATTTTCACTAATTTTATTGTTTTTTATTTTTTAGTCCAATAAAAAAGATCAGAAAATAAAAACTTTAAAACAAACTCTTGTTCATAATTTTAACTCTCCACCCATAGATGCTCCCCAAAATCATGACATTTAAGTTAATTGTGGATCCTTCTTTTTTTTTTTTTTTAAACAAGATTTCATTAATAAGTTTAGTTTGCCACAAACAAGATTTCATTAATCGTTGTCTTTATTATCATGTTTTTTTTTTTTGTTAAACTACCAAACCATCTATTTTTTCTTTTTTATTTCCGCACCACGTACCTTTCTCAATGCTTTTGGGTCCTTTTCTGACGCCAAAAAGCATCGGGAACACTGAAAAATCTTGTAGTGTAGGGATGCTCGAAATCTCAAATCCACATAATTATCATAAACACATTAATTTATTGGATTTTATAATTAAAAAATACTAAAATAAATTTATTTTTATTCTTAATAAAATAATCTTTTTGAGTACTTCTTAATAAAATAAATTGTTAGAAGTAATGAAATAAAAATAATAAACTAACCAATCTGGATTACCAAATAGAATACTTTTAATAGTTAAAAAGTGCTTATGTGAGAGTAGTGTTAACTATTAAGTTGGGTGACCAACGACTTGGCAAGTCTTCGTGTTGCCTCTCTTCTAATTTTTATTTTTTTTTCTCCATAGATTTTCTTTTAAATTTAGCCTAACTTTCTCTTTCTTCCAATATATTTTATGACTCTTAAAATTTCTCTCCATCGGTCCCACTCAGATGGATATGTTGCCTAATGAGACTTCGGTAGGCCCCACCAGCCTCACGACCTCAAGATGGTATGCTTCACTACTTACTCTACAATCGGCTCGTCTCAAGGTTCTCACATGTATTTACTCTCTCCCGAATAGCTGGTGTCCATTGGGGTCATGTCGGTCCACATGGCATAAATGGAAACTGTGTGCATTCCATGTTGGGTTTGATCGTACCAGTTGTTACGTGCAATGTATGAACGTTGTGCAAGTATACACCTATCGAGTGATGAAAAGATCGTACCCACAGAGATTTATTAACTAAACACTTCAATAATCACTCAAGTAAGAGAAACAAGTAAAAGATGGGGGAGGTGGAGTGGGGGTGTTGTTTCCCTCTTGCTCTAGTGTTACCAAATTGGGTATCTTCCCAGATTACCTAGATTTTTAACTCTATTCCAAACACTATTTAGACCAAGGTGAGTCTTATTCATATATATTCACACTCTATACTCAAATGTAGATCTAACACAAGTTAAAGTCACTCCCTCTCTGATGTACTCAACCTACCACAAGTGGCTTAAGCAACCCTTGTAAGAACAAGCACCTCCTAAACACACACGGTAACACCTAGTACACACACAAAGAATCACCCAAGGGGAAGAAGAAGGGACTTAGCTTGAAGGTCAAGGCTTTGGATGAATAGAACTTGTTCTAGATCCAAAGTGAAACATTCCACAAGTTTGATGACCAACCTAAATTTGCATGTTTCAAGAGTTTTGTGCAACTAGATCAAGAAGCACCAATGCTCATGGTTTTGGGAGCAAAGAGGAAAACTCAATGGTTATTTTCATTCATCAATAATTCACCCCTCAAATGTACAAGAAGAAGTCTATTTATAGGCATCTTGAATTTCCCTAAAATAAAAGGAAAATGACTTTAACTAAACATAGACTAAACTAATTACAAAGGGACTTAACTAAGTTACATAAACCTAAAGTTGGCTCTAAGAGCTATTACATAAATTTTACATTAAATCCAAAAGAAGGTTTCAATTCTAATTACATGAAAACACTAATTTTAAATAACCCCTAAAAGTTAGAGATCTCATGTTTTGTGTTTTCATGTTCCTTTGAAGTTTCTTTCTCCACTTATTCTCCTTCCTCATGAAGCTTGATAATCCACATGTTGAAGTGGAGATCCTCTTCTTCATCGGTTAGCCCTCATGGCATGATGTGCGTTGCTTGAAGCATATCACTCTCTATTACAATCTCCCAAAAGTAATAAAGAGTTCATTCAACATGGTGATCAAACATATTGAATTTATAAAAACAGCAACAACTTTGTATACCAAAAATCAATGTTCACAGTAAAAGATCACAACCCCTTTTAAGTTTTTAGCTACTCAATGCGATAACAAAAAGGGAGAGAGAAGGGAACACAAAGCCCATAAGCTACGGAATATAAAAGGAGAAAGAAGGGAAGAAATCATTAAAAACACTGAAACTATAGCAACTTTCTTCGCACTACTCATGAATTTAAAATAGAAAAGAATCAATTAGCTCTTACACTAAAACTAAGGTGCTTTGTTGACATAAACCCAAAAACTTCATTCTACATTTTCCTTTGAAAGTTAGAAATTCCCCCAACTCTTTTCTTAAACTGCCTTCCTCTGACCTCTTTTTATAACTTGCTATAGACTTAACTAGATAGCTATAGACTACTAGTCCTTCCTGATCCTGCAACTTCTTTTTTTGTTTTTTTTTTCTATTTTAGCTGAATTACAGAGCCAGAAAGTAAATAGCTGTATTACAAGGACACAAAGTGTGTTCATAGGTGCTAGAAGAGTATCCCACGCCCTAAACTTAAAAGTGAGTATTGTCATCCATGCGAAAAATGCTACTAGCCTAAGCATTTGAGTGACCAAGGACAAGACTGCCCAAACTTAAGGTTAAAATAGTCTACAGAAGGTTGATATACAGATTAGTCTTGAGATTGAAGGTGCAAAAGAGTGTCACATGTAGCAATAAGTTCTACGTCATTAACTTGTTGGCGATGGAAAATCATTGGCCCGAAATTTGCTAAGGTTAAATTTCTATGACCTCTAGGGGATACTAATAGAATAATTCTAAGCCTTATGCTACTTAAAAACACCTTAGTAATTGAGCAAGAACTTTCATTATCCTAAACTGGTCATTCAACATAAACAGATTCAGAAATTTGCTATACGGACCAGTCATCAATAGACGAATAGTTTGAAGCAATTAGGCATGCATCAAAAGCCTAACCAAAAAACTCATTATCAGACTTCTCGTTCATTCATTCAAATAGGCATACAAGAGGTGCAGCTGATCTAAAGAAATACTAACCTAGGTAATCCTAAGGCTGTAAAATAAACAAACCTGAACTAAATACTGAAGTCAGAACAACATGAAAACAGATAGAAAAAATTAAAATTGCAAGGAATAACAAAATTCAGACAGGGGTAACCAACTCCCCTTGTTCACTCTTCTCCTTCTTCGTCTTCTTCATCTGTAGAGCTACTCGTGGGTTTGCGGTAAAGTGGAGCCTCCGGTGGTAAAAAAACGCCGGTAACTATTTGAATGACTAAACAAGCTAACGGACTGAACCCTACCAATTACTTGGAATTTTCCTTTGCTAAAGGTCTTTTCTACACCAATTTTCTTAAATTTTTGCTAGTACATTGACGGAGCTTATCACACTTGTTATTTTGCTTTATTCCACCTAGTATTTTATTTACAGCTTGTTATCAACAAGTTGGTGGAGCCTCAATCAACTCCCTCCCCACTGCTCCAGTTAGTTATAAGCAAGGTTTTAAAATATGAAGGGAAACATCGATAAAATGTTGATGTCGATGAATATTTCTGTAAAAGTTAGAGAAATTAAAAAATTTTAAAAAATACTTAAATTAACAAATAAATATTTTTCTACTTTTGAATAAGTTAAATATAATTAAAATTAATATTATTTATATATTAGAGACATTTTGTTGATATTTTTTATATTTTGTTGATTTTTTTTGGAACTATGATGGAAATGTCGATGCCGAACCATAGAAACATGGATATGTCGATAGAAATGTCGACGTGTCGATGGATATTTAGAACCATGGTTATGAGGAAAATTCCATAAATAGATATTTTTCTTCTCTGAATTAGGATTATGTGAGTTGAAATCAAGTATCCATGCCCTTGAAGATTATCTGTAAAGGCCACCGATATAAGATATGAGAAAAGCAGTGATGAGTTGCGATCATGAGATGATAGTCTCTTCTTCAGTTAATGATCAAAGAGAGAGGCATGCACATACAAAAATAGAGATCAAACTACTATTTAAGCTAACCAACCGAAACTAATTACAAAATGAATAAATTTTGATGTATTTAAATACCAATGTACTGTATGTTAAGACTAATCAATAGTATATGGTTAGAGAAGTTGCTATTAATCTGTAACAACCTGAGAGAAGTTAGCTTTCTGTTACAAGAGCTATGTGGCTATATATTTGTAATCAGATTTAGATTCAAAGAAAAGAAAAAAAAAGAAGTCTAAATCTATAGTATCTTTCTTGATTACCTTCTGAATTTTGTCTCGGTATCAGAGTCACTTCAAGTCAAACGACTAAAAGCTCCTGGGAATACTTCAAGATGAGTAAGTGGTGGAAGAAAACTTTGAAGCTTCAACACATCAAAACACACAGATTATCAATCCAGGGAACAAGATCAATACGGTAAAACTGAATGACAGCAATTACTTATTATGGAAATTTCAAGTTCGTGCGGCTCTTGAAGGGAATGGACTTGAAGAATTTGTAGATGAAGACGGAGAATTACCTTCGAAATTTCTTACCGTCACAGAAGGAGATGCATCAGTTCAGAAAATTAATCCCGCTTATACTCGGTGGAATCGCCAAGACAGATTGATCACATCTTGGCTCCTGGGTTCCATGGCTGAAGAAATCCTTGCTGATTTACTTCATTGTTCAACTGCAAAAGAAATCTGGGTAAGTCTTCAACAAATGTTTGCAACACAGAACTTGACAAAGGTAATGCAACTTAAGACCCAATTACAGAATTTAAGAAAGGGTGGATTATCTCTAAAAGAATATATAAGGCAGATCAAGAATTTAGTTGATTCTTTGAAAGCTGCTGGGAAATCTATGAATACCGAAGATCATATTATGCATATTTTATCTGGATTAGGGTCTGAATATGAATCAACTGTATCTGTTATCACAGTCAAGAAAGGTCCACTAACGATTCAAGATGTTACAGCCCTACTACTATCACATCAAAGACGAATTGAGAAAGAAATTAGTGCAGCAAAAGATGTAACTCTACCTTCTGCATCTATAAATCTTGCTCATCAACAATTTGGTCAGAATAATCAGAACAATTCAGTGTCATATAATTCTAATGACAATCACAGATATCAGCAACACTATTCGAATGATAACAATAGAGGTCGTGGGAGATTCCACCGCAATGGAGGAAGACGGTGGAATTCAAGGAACAAAATCCAATGTCAAATCTGTCATAGATTTGGACACACAGCAGATAGATACTACTTTCGTAACTCGTCTGTACAACAACAGAATCAGTATTCAACAAGATATTTTCAATCAAGTTCCCCATATCATCAACAACAGAATGCTGCAGCAATGCTAGTCTCCTCTGATATAAACAAAGATACCAATTGGTATCCAGATTCTGGAGCAACAAACCATGTTACACATGATTTGGGCAACCTTTCTCTCTGCAATGAAGTAGCTAGTGGACAACATATCAATACAGCTAATGGTGCAGGTTTGGAAATTACTCACTCTGGCTAGACTTCTTTTCTTACCCCTACCAAACACACTTTTCATTTACAAAATCTTCTTCATGTACCTTCAGTAACCAAAAATCTCCTTAGCGTTAGCTAATTTGCAAAAGATAATCATGTTTATTTTGAATTTCATCCTTCTTTTTTGTCTTGTCAAGGATCAAGTCACTGGTACAATTCTACTCCAAGGGAAACTCCATGATGGATTATACACTTTTCAACTGAATGCATCGTCCTCTAGAGGTTCCACATCTTCTGTTGGTCGTTCATTGTCCAGGAATCAAATTACTGTCTTCTATGTCTTCCAATTGTCCCTCTGCTGATTTGTGGCATCAAAGGTTGGGACATCCATCCTCTGTTATTGTTTCTTATGTGCTTAAGAAATGTACTACTGCACCTATCAATAAAACTGTATCTTTCTGCAATTCTTGTGCTCTTGGCAAGACTCACTCTCTTCCTTTCTCACCATCTACTACTACCTATACAAAGCCTCTCCAATTAATTGTTTTTGACCTTTGGGGTCCTGCCCACAAATTATCACGAAATGGTTATAGATACTACATCAGCTTCATTCATGTTTTTTTCACGATACACTTGGATATATTTTCTTGAAAATAAATCCCAAGCTTTTTCTGCTTTTCTACAATTCAAAACTCACATTGAAAAACTATTAGGACTCCAAATTCCTTGTTTTCAATCCGATGGCGGAGGAGAATTCAAAACCTTCACTCCATACCTCAAGTCCCATGGAATTGCACATAAATTTACATGTCCGTACACATCCCAACAAAACGGGATTGCTGAAAGAAAACATCGTCATATTTTTGATGTTGGTCTCACCCTCCTCTCACATTCATTTTTACCTCTAGAATTCTGGGATGATGCATTCTATACTGGTGTTTACCTCATCAATCGATTGCCTACTTTATGTCTTGAATGGATTAGTCCCTTGGAGAAACTTTTTACTCTATCCCCTGACTATTTGACTTTTGGCTGTCGATGTTATCCTTGCTTGAGACCTTATAATGACCATAAACTTCAATTCCGCTCTACTCCATGTAACTTCTTAGGATATAGCAATATACACAAAGGGTATAAATGTCTCTCTACCACTGGCCGCATCTACATTTCCAGAAATGTCACCTTTGATGAAACTAATTTCCCTTTCTCTGCGACTACGTCTGTTCCTCAACCTTTTCAATCCACCACAATCCCTTCCACTTTATCTCATGTTCCATATACTACTCCTTTGTCTTCCCCTGATCCCACAAATCCTGCCCCCACCCCTCTACCTCTCACTCATCCCACATCCCCACTATCTTTACCCAACAGCACCTCACCTATTCAACTTCCCTCTTCACCCATTCAATCAAACCAACCTATCTCACCCCCTTCTTCTACTTCCACACCAGAGGCATCTCCACCAGTGTTTATACCTTCTTCTCCTAATACTATATTACAGAATCCTCATCCTATGACTACACGTGCTAAAAATGGCATTTTTAGGCCAAAAATTTATCTTGCAGACTATAAAGAAGTCGAGCCTTCCTCGGCAAAAGAGGCTCTCAAATATCCCCATTGGAAAGCAGCTATGGAAGAAGAGTATAATGCTTTGTTGAAAAATGGTACATGGACACTGACTTCTCCCCCTCCTGATAAGAAGATCGTCGGTTGCAAATGGGTCTTCTGAATAAAGCGTAATACAGATGGATCAGTCGCTCGGTATAAAGCCCATCTTGTTGCAAAAGGTTTTCATCAAACAGCTGCCATTGACTATCAGGAAACATTTAGTCCTGTGGTGAAACATGTGACAATCCGCGTTCTCCTTACTTTGGCTATTACATTTGGTTGGGACTTACGCCAAATAGACATCAACAATGCCTTCCTCCATGGCATTCTCCATGACTCAGTTCATATGGAACAACCACCTGGTTTCATAGCCCCTGGTTCTGGTACTATGGTTTGTAAACTTCACAAAGCTTTATATGGCCTGAAGCAAGCTCCCCCAGCATGGTTTGAAAGGCTTAGCTCCTATCTTGTTTCACTCGGTTTTAGACATTCACGGGCTGATCCGTCACTGATGTATCAATTCAAAGATGGCAGGTGTTGCTATGTTCTCATCTATGTCGATGACATCGTCATTACTGGGAACTCGCCTACTGCCATTCAGCATCTTATTAAATCTTTACATGGTAAATTCTCTCTTAAGGATTTGGGTAAATTGGGATATTTTCTTAGCATTGAAGTATCATATCCATCCAAGGGCGAAATCTATCTATCCCAGGCAAAGTATATTACTAATTTGTTGCAGAAAGCAAATATGTTAGAGTCCAACAGCATTGCCACTCCTATGATCAGTGGCTCCATAACCTCTGCTTTTCAAGGTGAATCTCTTCCGGATCCTTTCCAATACAGAAGCGTTGTCGGTGCACTGCAGTACGTCACCTTGACTCGACCAAAACTTGCCTATTGTGTCAATAAGGTGTGCCAATTTATGCACAACCTAACTCACATTCACTGACAAATGGTAAAACGGATACTTCGTTACCTAAAGGGCACTTATGACCATGGTTTACTGCTGTCCCACTCGTCTGATCTACGTCTTCAGGCTTTCTCTGATGCCGATTGGGCATCTGACCCCGATGACCGCAAGTCCACTTCAGGGTTCTGCATCTTCTTTGGTGGAAATCCAATATCCTGGGGTTCTAAGAAACAACCTGTTATCTCACGATCCAGTACTGAGGCTGAATATAGGTCACTTGCTCTATCTGCTTCTGAACTCATCTGGCTTCGCACACTATTTGCTGAGCTTCGGTTTCCTCTGCTTCATCCACCAATTTTGTGGTGTGATAATCTTAGTGCCGTACATCTCAGTGCAAATCCAATCCTCCATTCTCGCACTAAACACGTTGAAATTGACATTTACTTTGTCCGCGATATGGTTCTCTCTAATCAACTTCGTGTTCAACATCTTCCCTCGTCTGCCCAAATTGCGGACATACTGACCAAGCCACTGTCCTCTGCCTCTTTTCATCTTCTGAAGTCCAAGCTCAATGTTCGGCCTGCCTCCTCCATTGGCTTGAGGGGGGGTGTTAAGACTAATCACTAGTATATGGTTAGAGAAGTTGCTATTAATCTGTAACAACCTGAGATAAGTTAGCTTTCTATTACAAGAGCTATGTGGCTATATATTTGTAATCAGATTTAGATTCAAAGAAAAGAAAAAAAAGAAGTCTAAATCTATAATATCTTTCTTAGATTACCTTCTGAATTTTGTCACTGTACAGAGTAAGCATAGTTCAATAATAAAGATTCTCTTCTCTCAATTAGCATTCATGGTGGAAGAAGAAATAGAAACACATGTACGAGTAAAACTTGATGTATATAAACACCAATGTAGTCTGCATAGTAAGTGAAGTTCAATAATAAAGATTCTCTTCTATCAGTGTGTTTATCCTCTAATTCTTTATGTATCAGTATGTTTATCCTCTAATTCTTTCTCAAACAAAAAAGTAAACTAAATTGAAACTACAGTTTCACATAAAAAAATGAAAAAAATTTACCTGAAGAACACCTCAGAGTGAAACTTGGAGGTCTTGAATGTGAACCAGGCAAGCAAAACAGTGTACAAAAAGGAGTTCATATTGGAGGGAAAGTCTTCTTCTACCAATTGTAAGAGCTCTCTTGCTATAAGTAAGAAAATAGGGTTCACGTAAAAACAAAAGGGAGAAGAAAAACATGTTTGGTTTTTAGTTCAAGTTCAGCAAACTCCTGCAAAATCCTTGACTTCAATTATTTCGTCTCTCTCTTATTTTCTAATTTCCTTTGTCACATTAAGAAAGAACTAGAACCCTTGGAGGGAGTTGGAATAACATGAACATTTAAAAAATGGTTTGAAAATTTTAATATGTATTTTCTAAAAGAACCATATTTATTTTTTATAATTTCTTAACAAAAATTAATAGATATATATATATGTGCTCACGCGTAAACCCATACCACTGTATAATTCAAGCCCTCAAAACAAACCCCATGCCACTGTATAATTCAGGTAGCAACGCAAGCCCTCAAAACTCAAAACCCATACCACTGTATAATTCAGGTAGCGACATAAGCCCTCAAAACTCAAAACCCACCAACACAAAGAAAAATAAGAAAACATGTATGTATGTGTACTAAAGCACCCTCCCTTGAGAAAAATTGGTTCTTCCAAACCTTGAAGCACCTTCCAAATCCAATCTTTCACAAAATGGAAGTCATTTTGCTTGCTCCCTAGAAATCACCGAAGGCAAGCCTAAAAAGAACTAAACTGTCCACTAGCCACACCTTAAGCATATATTGGAGATAAAGGTTGTCAGTGTTAGTTAATTTAGGTGGAATAAAAATAATTGTATTCCAATATATGTTTAAATAAGAAATACATGGCCCTCTTAAATAGAAGAGAGACTAAAAAACAATTAATATTTACAACTAATTTATAGCAAATATTCACAAATATTAAACCAACACTCCCCCTCAAGCTGGTTTAAAGATATCTTCTATTGCCAACTTATCAATCATCCTGTTAAATTGCACTTTTAGTAGTCCTTTTGTCAACACATCAGTAGTCTGATCTATTGTTGGGACATAAGAGATACAATATCAAACCAGTGTCAACCTTTTCCTTTATGAAATGTTTGTCAATTTCAATATGCTTAATCCTATCATGTTGAATTGGATTGTGGACTATAGAGATGGCAGCCTTGTTTTCACAATAAACTCGTATGGGTGCCTTCTGAAAGACTCTCAATTCTTCGAGTAACCTTTTTATTTATATTCCTTCACAAATACATGGGCTAAAGCTCTAAATGCTGCTTTAGTGCTGCTTCTGGCTACTACATTTTGTTTTTTACTTCGCCAAGTAACTAAGTTACCTCCAACAAATGAACAATAACCAGAAGTAGATCTTCTATATATCGTACTTCCTGCCCAATCAGCATCAGTATAAACTTCAACCTGCAAATGGTTGTGTTTTTTGAACAATATATCTTTTCCTGGAGTTCCTTTTAGATATCTTAAGATTCTATAGGAATCTTCAAAGTGAACTGTTCCTGGTGAGTGCATAAATTGGCTTACCATGCTCACTACAAAAGTAATATCTGGACGTTTGTGAGACAAGTAGATGAGTCTTCCCACAAGGCTTTGATATCGCTCTTCATCCTTTACTTCTCCTTCTTTTGTATTTTGCAATTTCAAATTAGGTTCAATAGGAGTCTCAGCTACCTTGCATCCAAGCAAACCTGTTTCTCCAATTAAATCAAGAATATATTTTCTTTGATTAACAAAGATACCTTTCTTAGATCTCGCAAATTCCATACCTAAGAAGTACTTTAATATTCCTAGGTCCTTAATTTGAAATTCATTTGCAAGTCTTTTCTTTAAAGTGACCAGTTCTACTTCATCATCACCTGTAAGCACAATGTCATCTATATAGACAATCAAAATTGCAGTTTTATTGTTTTCAGAACGTTTATCAAAGATGGTATGATCAGCTTGACTCTGAAGAAACCCATATATCATGACTACTTTACCAAATCGTTCAAACTATGCTCTTAGAGATTGTTTGAGTCCATATAGAGATTTCTTTAACCTTCATACTTTGTCCTTCCCAAAATTAGCTTTAAAACTTGGTGGTAAACTCATAAATACTTCTTCTTCGAGATCTCCATTCAGAAAGGCATTTTTTACATCGAGTTGGTGAAGTGGCCAATCTAAATTTGCAGCTAGGGACAAAAGTATTCTAATGGAGTTGATTTTAGCTATAGGAGCAAAAGTTTTCTGATAATCAATCCCATAGGTTTGAGTAAATCCCTTTGCAACTAGTCTAGCTTTGTACCTTTCAACACTACCATCAGCATTACACTTGATTGTTAAAACCCATTTGCACCCCACAATTTTCTTATCTCTGGGCAAATCTACTATCTCTCATGTACAATTCTATTTTAGAGCATTCATCTCCTCCATAACCGCTAGTTTCCAATTTGGATCATTTAAGGCTTCTTGTAGGTTCCTTGGAATAAACAAGTTAGTTATCCTAGACATAAAAGCTTTATGACTACTTGAAAGTTTTTCATAAGAGATTAGTTTGCAAGACGATATTTGGTGCAAGTTCGAGTTCCTTTTCTTATGGCTATAGGAACATCAAGATCAGAAACAACAAATGAGACATTTTCAATATTTGGAGTGACAAGGATGGAAGATTGATTACCTGGAGTTTCAAAATGCCACTTTGAGTTTCAGATTGGGTCAGTCAGCTATCAGGTCCTCATTCGTTTGATTGAGCCTTCTTCTAGTATAAAACTTAAAATCGGGATTTAGACCAATTTAATCATTTAGTAGTAATTCTCCCCCTGAATGAGAATTTTCTACACTTGATATTGAAGGACTAATAATGCCAGAACTAGGACTAGTAAAGTTGGGACTTATAACATTAGGCAGAGGGACAGGCATATGCCAAAAATTATTATCCTCTAAATTTAGTTTCTCCCCCTGGAGATAATTTTGGGTAAACAAATGTTGATTTTTAAAAAAAGATACATCCATACTCACATATAACTTTGTTGTTTGAGAATCAAAAAGTTTATACCATTTTTTTCTAAAATCATAGCCCAAGAAAATGCATTTAATAGCCCTATGATCTAATTTTGACCGAAAAGGACTAGGAATATGCACATAAGTGGTACACCAAAAAACTTTGAGAGGTAAATAAGAGTTCAAATGAGTTGTTGGAAAATTTTCTTTCAAAACATTAAGAGGAGTTTTAAACTTCAAAACTTTAGTAGGCATCCGATTTATTAGGTAGGCAGCCATGATGACTGCTTCCCCAAAAAGTACTTAGGGACATTCATAGAAATTATGGCCCGACCAACCTCTAATAAATGCCTATTTACTTTGTTCAGCAATACCATTTTGTTGAGGAGTATCTCTACAAGTGGAGTGATGAACAATGCCTTTATTTTTCAAAAACTCACTCAAGTATTCATTGAAATATTCAGTTCCATTGTTAGAATGCAAGATACTAATTTTGGTTTGAAATTGAGTTTCAATCATATTGTAAAAACATTTGAAAACATCCTTCACATCAGATTTGCTTGACAATAAATAAACCCAAGACAAGCGAGTATGATCATCAATAAAAGTTACAAACCACCGTCTACCACTATGAGTTAAAACTTTAGAAGAATCTTAAACATCACTATGAATTAAATAGAATGGTTTGGAGGACGTGTAAGGTTTTGGAAAATATGTGGATCGATGATGTTTTGCAAAGATGAAATTTTCACAATGAAATTGAGAACAATCAAATCCTTTAAACAAATTTTGAAATATGAATTTGAGATAGAAGAAACTAGGATGTCCTAGCCTAAAATGCCAAAGTATAATCTGTTCTTTAATAGAGAGAGAACTGTTACTACTAAAGCACTGAGTTATTTTATTACTACCAGAAGGCTCATCAAAGTAGTAAACAACATCCAGCATCCTAGCACATCCAAAAGTCTTCCCCGAGGGTTGGTTCTTAAAAACACAGTGAGATGCATAAAAAGTAACAAGACAGTTAGAATCTTTAGAGAGTTTACTAACTAATAGAAGATTGCAGGTTAATTTAGGAACATGAAGAACCGATTGTAGAGTAATATTTTTTGTTAATTTAATGGTTCCTTTTCCTGCAATAGAAGAGAAACTGCCATCGACTGTCTTAATTTTTTCATTGCAATATGTAGGAGAGTATGATTCAAATATTTTAGAAGAACTAGTCATCTGGTCAGAAGCTCGGGAATCAATGATCCACGGAGATAAGTGAAGGCAAGAAAGTGTTGTAGGGTAATTACCTGTTTGTGCCAAGGAAATACAAAGATTACCAAATCATGAATTGGTCTCCAGCCATTGTGATAGATGCTCTCTATTAAATGTTCTTGAGTCAACAATAGCAATGTGAACTTGCTCCTGGTCACTTTCAGTTTCTTCAGCCATGATGGAAAAAACCAGTGTTAATTAAACAGATCATACCATAAATTGAGATATTATGGTGGAAATAATCATAGAACCAAGATTTGAACCAAACCAAACCAAGCTACTATCTCCTAAACTGAACTGAATGGATCGAACCAAACCGAACCAAACTAGGCGAACCAACCTGTTTCGCCTCAGCTTAATAGCTAGAAGGTAAGTGCAAGTGCACACTGACACAAGTAATAATCTGAAAATATTCCAAGTTCGTCTCCACAGGGACTAGTTTTCTTTTAAAATTGATTTTGTAAACTGCTTGAATGAGCAATCAAGTTTGGGAATAAAAATTGGTGGAATTGTTGGGAACATAAAAAAACACAAGAAAATAATAGAATTTAAAAGGTCAACCCCCTACTTCTGTTTAGTTCTAAAATGATGAATTCCACCTATCAAATGTGCCTGTAGGTACGCTCAATTTATGCAAACTGGTTCAACTCTTATTCCATACCGCTTTTGGTTTGTTTAGAAGTTTAGGCTAGTGTATACATATGTCTATGCAACTCTAGAATCCTAAATAAATCAAGTTCCAACTTACGTTTAATGGGTAAGAGAGCCTATGTCTAAGATCTTGTTTTAGTTCTTATTTCTCAGTAACTTCTCGTTTTACCTTGATGAGATGCGTTTGACTCTAACCTTCTTAGAATTAAATTCAAACTAGTGTGATTTAAACAAGTGGCCAACAAGAAAATCAACTGGATAAATTGTATCAATCAAGATAAGCAAAGAGAGCGTAATACGCCGTGCTCACTAATAGATGTAATTTAAATAGATGAACTAAACTCGTAGGAGGGTTGAAGAAACAATTTACCTACTCATGGAATTGAAAGAAATTAAAACAGAAGAGAAGATAACGAAAGAAAACATTTTAATTAGAATTGGAAAGAGAGTACAAAATGGAACAAATTGAATTGCAATAAAATAAACAAGAGTAATTGTAGAAAAATAATTGAAACAAAACTTAAATAAAAACTACAACACTAAAGTAGAAAGGAAAACAAAAGCATGAAAAATGAGATGTCTTGAAGTGATGCTTGGAAGTTTCTTTTATAGGCCATTGAGGTAACAAGATGTTGAGAAATGCATCGGAGGTTGGAACCATATGAGGTTGTAGAGATTTTAGGAACTAATAACAAATCTTGGACCAATTACTTGGTCAAAAGTTGTTATTCCCGTTTTGACAATCTAGGCATCGAATGTGGCTGAAGCATTATGAAGTTGGAACTTTCAAAGTAACTTGGCTGGCTCATTACTCTGGTAAGCTAGAAATTCTGGTCCTGCAATGTGTCTGACGCATTTTGATCATCAATCTTCACTTTTCCTTACAAAATAAGCATATTTACACAAATTAGCCTTCATTTACCTATAACTGAATTCCAAAGTCCCTAATCACAAATTATGCACATTTCCCCTAAATTATATGCATGAACATACATTTTCATCCCAAATAACCGTCAACTAAGCATTCAAACCTACCATTTTTAGCTTTTAATCAAGGCTTATCACAACCCGAAGCAAACCAAGTGCAAACCAACCCAACTAGGGTTTGTAGAGCAAGCCCACAAGCAACCCACGAAACGAACAGCAACAAAATACAATAGAATCGAATGTCTGCTGATCCCCGACCTCCCTTCAGCAACTGAAGCAACGTTGAAAACCGGTAGTAACGTATGCAGACGATATGATGACGTCCAGTGAAGTGGGTGGCAGCAACGGAATCTTAAATGACGTCATATGTGGACGGGGCAGCAGCGTCTGTCGAAGTGAAGTGGCAGCGACAAGATCTAAACGTACGGCAACCTCCGGACCTGAACAGTGGCAGATTTGGGCATTGACAACAAACGAACGGCCATCAACTCAGATATGGTGGAATAGGTTTTGTAATGCCCTGCATTACCTTTAATAGTATTTTCATGACATTATATTATTAATTTTTTTTTAGGTAAGCTAGTCAAATCTAATTAGCTTTATGCCAATAAACTTTAATCAATCCTAGTTAATAATTGTAGGCTTCTAATACTCTAACTAATTAAGCTCAAGTTAATTTTATTTACTTATTAAAAAGAAATTTACAACAAAATTTAGTGATTCATCTTATAAATGTTTAATTAATTATGTATGTTAATCAAAAATAAATATGCATAAGAGATTAATAAGATTAGCGAGATTAATTGTATTTAAGTAACAAAATTAACAATACTACTTTAGTAATTAGATAAATGTTGTGAAATATGGTAATTGTAATGGTAGCATTATTTGAGTATTTATAAAGTTTCATACATTTTATCCAAAGTTTTATTTTAAGGTAATTAACCAAGTAAAACCTCATATTACCTTTATTTTACTCTTTATTTTTCTACCAATTAAATTAACTTAATTGAGGGAATATAGAAAGTTTTACTTAACTTATAACCATGATTAGGCAATAGAACCCACCTTCCACTAACCATGATTAGACAATATAACCCACCTTCCACCCAAGAGACACATGTAGTAATTAAGTTAGTTAGGAAGAC